ATGAGTTGCAGCGGTAGTTGAGAGAGGCAGCGGAAAGGAGAATGAGTTATTTTGAGAAAAAAACATACTAGGTAGTAGGAAACAGGAGCTAGGTAGATTAGAAGCATTAGATGAGTCAGCACTTGATCCTGCGATGCGAGCGCTACATAACTCGCTCCTTTGCGTGGTTGAAGCGCAAGCTGTTCAACAAGAAGTGCTGGCTGAACTAGTGGCAGGCCAGAAGCAAATTATGGCTGCACTGCAGACTCCTCGTCCCATGATGAGGTAGCCGCAGTAGGTTGTAGCTCCCCCTTCGGGTGCGGGCCACTCAGTGACGTCGTCGCCAGTAGGGCCTTCTGTCCTATGTTTGGCATTCCTCTTTCGAGTAGTCAACCAATGGTTAGTGGTCCGGTTCTTAGAACTTCTGCCGTACCATCCACGACAGTGGTTACTACAGTCCCACTGTCAAGTTAGGCCCAGGTTAGTGTGCAGCAACATGTTTCCGTGGTTATGCAGCCACTGCAGCAATCTCTTGGGCCAATGCAGCCTATGCAATGGATGGCCAAAATACCCTTGCTGAGTCCTAAGCCCTTCTCCGGCGACAGGAAGAAGGATGAGGACTGCCTCCCTATGTGAGGCACAAGCTTACCAGGTCGGAGCAAGAAGTGGTAGTGACTGCCTCCTTTTTAGAAGGGTCCGTAGCCTGCTGGTTGAATGGCCTAGTGCAGCAACAGGGCTACAGTCAGAACTTCGATGCCTGGGCCCAGGCCCAAACATTGGAAGAATTCGTACGGTCCGTGTATAATAGGTGGCATGACCCTCAAGGGGCTCAAAAGGCCACAGACGCAATCAACAGTCTTGTGCCAGAAGGTACAAGAATGTTCGTGAGCTCACGGATACCGTAGAACGTCTGCTCGTGGTACCTGGTGTGCGCTATGACCAGCAGGTACTCCTCACGGATTACCTTAGGTGTCTGCCTTCAGAGGCTAGGACAAAGCTGGTGGATGAGGCCTATGTCGAACAGCACAACTTCGCTTCTTTCAGCAAGAAGGCCCTAGATATAGAGGAAAAGTTGGGGTCCGCGCATCAGAGTCAGGGTGATGGTAGGAAGAAGAGACTCCCCCAGGATTGGAAGAAGAAAGGGCAACTAATGTTCGTCGACCATGATGGTCAGGCGACAGAAATTGATGACTTCCCAAACGTTGGGGAGGAGACAGAGCACGATGGGGCCAGCGAGACTTCGGATGGGGGAGTCGTGGCGCCCATCAAAGAAAAGGCTAGGGGGACCGGGAAGAAGAAGGTAGTACGGTCCATGGTGTCAGTGCGAATACCCTGATAAGGGTATCCGCCCTGGTTTTCGCAAGGGACAGGAGGACCAGTTGAGTTGGAGTTCTTTTTTAAATGCTCGCACAGGCCGGGGTGATTGCCTGCGTAGGGGCCGGAGTTTGTCTGAGTAGAAAGGGTGAGTGGGCGCGCAGTTTTGAGACGCGCGTGTGATTCTTTCCCTTGCGTTTGATTATGAAGCCAGTATAGTCGACCGACCTGATTTTTGCTTACCGATTAAACAGAGGATTAAAAGGTTTTGACGTTTGTTCGCCACGCCTAACCGGCGGTAGGTCCGGTGTGCAGGAATGGTGCATGTGGCGGTCGCGACGCAGTTCGGGTAAGCAAGCGCGGGTGACTAGCGGCCGCGCACTTGGTTGTAGGTGGAGATGAGGCCCAGGTCGTTTCCTCAGCCCTAAGCGCTGGGCCGCACCGCCTTATATGGAATTCCGCGCCTGCTGGTTTCAAGCTTGGGCTTAGCCCTATAGTTACGACATTGGACCTTTGAGACGGAGGTATGGGGATCGAGCCCGGCGAGCGGCAGCTTGGGAGCAATGGGGAGGGATGGAGGGACCCACCGGTACCCCCTTTGAATTTTTTCGTTTTTGTTGTCGTTTTTCTTTATTTCATTTGGTCTTACTTGATCGGGCCCGGTACCGGGTCCGAGACCCGTTGTTGACCCAACAAGCCAAGCTCAAAGGATACACCCGTGACCTGAGGGATCGTAGATCCGTGGTTGGTCCCAAGTATTGAGGGTCGATGAGTGAAGCTGGCTACTTTGAATTGCTTGGGGCCGCCCGAGCTCCGAAAGGCCGTAGGACACTACCGTGGTAGAGTCTGTCGGGACATCCGTAAAAATTGGAGCGATACAGAGGAGATCAGCATGACCCCTGCGTAAAGGCGATGCCCGTGAGTCGGGGAATGAACCTGGCACTGATCGGTGCTAGGTGCTGATAAGGAATAGGGGCGAAAGCTCTAGCCGAGCCAGCTAGCAGGCCATGCTACCGAGGGCCGCGTTGATTCACAGGGGGTAGCCGGGGTGGCGACTTCGGTCGGAGTACGAACTGATGGGCATCGCACTAAGGGACAGAAGCGGGAGATTCGTTAAAACCGGTCATTGGCCAGTCTCTGTTTTTTTTGTTTCCTCCAAGGATTTCGGAGTAGCGAGCAGTCGAACGTTTGCAGGGACGAGCGGGGCGTTGCGCTAGGCCAGCAACTATTGACGTCAACACGGGCTAAGAAACGGAGATGGCGGAGAGGGAGCCGAGCGCGGTCGAGAACGCTTAGCGCCCTCGATCTTGAGTGGAATCGGGTGGAGGAAAGTGCTATCCCAGCGTTTTGAGGCCGGCCGAGTGTGATGGCAAGGTCATTTTTTACAGTAGATTAGTAGAATGAGAGTTAGTGAGAAAGAGGGGTGCGCGGTGATGGCGGGAAAGAAGTGGCGGAGAGAGTCGAGATCGAGAATCTCGCCCGTTATTCAATGAAAAAGGGCAGGGAAAGACCTTAAACGAGGGGTTTGGGCTAGGGCGAATCCGATGGCAGTGTCGGATTTTGCGCTGAGGATGTAGTTTCAGCGGTAGGATGGTTTTTAGTTGTGCCTGGGGAAATAAGTTTCTACGTAGGAATGTATTCGACCGTGTTCTTACGAAAGATTCATCTAAATTTTGCACACTAAGTGAGTAGTGGAGTGAGACCACGAGCGACTACTGAAGGACGCTCGTCTGGCAATGTATGTCCCATGGCTAGCAGCAGGTTCCTTCCCATGGGGCGGTCCGACAACGTTCGCGATAGTAAGGTAGGTGCTCGCGCGGGGCAGTGCCAGAGAGTAGAGGAGAAGATCGGTCGGAGCACTCACCTGATCTCGAAGCCGTGGTTGTTGATATCGAGATGGTCCGCCCCGATAGTGAGTAGCTCTGCGTTCGGAGTATGATTGTTTTAAAGTTGTGTGAACCCGACGAGACGGTTCGGCCGGGTACGCTGCGAGGGAAAGAGTGGGAGGTGGCGGGGTGCTGGTGAGGCAAGCAGAGAGAGAGGGAGAGAGATAACGAGCACTCACTTTGAATCAGCGATGCAGGATGAACCTATAGTCGGACTAAGCGTAATGGAAGAATGTACCCGAACGATTTTTGTGCATCTTATTGATGACAGTAGCATAAAGATAATTGCGGGGTCGGGACTTACCCGGTGGCCGGTACGCTGCACATGACCGAATGGAACAGCGGAGAACCGGTTGTGAAACTTGGAGGCCGGACTGTTAGACGGAGCGGTGCTTGTTCCGCTGGATAGAGTAGCGGGAGGGCAAGAAACTGCAAGCAGCTGTGACTTGGACACTTACTTGTGGACTGTTGTGCTGCCTTGCACAGCCACCGTGACAACAAAGGGGGAGAGTTGCGGGCTGCATACCTACCGGTGGACTATCAAATAAGTGTCAGAAGTTAGTTCCAGAATAAGTTGTGCTTTGACTTTACACTTTCAACTTTATCTTGGCAGTCTCCTGTCCCTATGAGAAGCGCTGCTAAAACTTTTGTAGAATCTGGGGAGTTAGAATATTTTCTGCTAGGCAGAAGCTGGAAATCCACCCTGTCAAAGGGAGATGCTGCTAAAAATTGTTGATGCTTTCTGCAACCCATTGAGATAAGATAAAGGAGAGRTCAGTAGAGGAGCKAGGCTACGACATGGAGCACGTTCTCCATTTGGCTCAAACATAGTAGTGGCTCTCTTTGACCTGTACTGTGTTGCAGGGATGGGAATTCGATTGAAGGCTCGACTTGTTCGGCCTGATCGTACAGAGTATCATCTTCTGTTATCATTGATAAGAGTAAGAGTGGCGGCAGGGGACAGCAGCAGGATACTTACCTGACCAAGGTGCTGAGAGTCCTATTGAGCGACAACAACGGGAGACGGCGGCAGGTTTGGATACTTCCCTGCAGGCTGTGAGCCGCTTACGTCGTTGGAGTGGAAGGGACAGCAGACCAGCCGCGAGGGTGCAGGCTCACCTATAGTCGACGTACTTGGGGTCACGAGCGTCGCGAAGAGAGTGAGGTTGTCGTCGGGAGGTTTTTTTTGCTGCGGGCAAGGAGGAACGTCTGTTAGAGAGTCAACTTCAACGGTTTGACTTCGTTGACCAAGTTGTCAATCTTGGCCACAATTCCAGGGCCCTCAGGCGTTTGAAGACTTCAAGGCCCTCTCTCACGAGTCTGAGTGCAACTCCTTGGATCGGAGAGACTTAATAACTCTATTTCTGCCCTTCTAAGTCTGATTTATTGGTTTTGAGAGGAAGGCGGCAGGCGGGATTGCAACCCGTAATCCATGCCAAGGCCTCTGTGGGAGGTTCGCCCCACCGATTGTGGGAGCTCTGCCTTGTTGACCCAAACCCCTACCGGACCAAGTAAGGCTAAAGGTTGTGTCTGACGACTCGACTGTCCCGGAGGACAAGAACCCTCCCAAGGACCGGTACAGACCGGCGGGCTGCTCGGTGTGGCACGGTAGGCCTGAAAGGCTGAGTTGCGGGCTGTGCAACAGGCAAGACCAAGCTGATCACGTCGTCCTGTCTGCGACGTCAAAGAATTCTTGCGGGGGATCTCCTTAAATGCCTCCTGATCAGCCACTGGTCTAGTAGTGACAGCCATAGCATAGGTCTAGGCTAGTGACCATAGCTGACAGGGTTCTATACGAACCCTGTGGTTCTTAGAGAGTATGTCAGTGAGTTTTGCTGGTAGGTCTACGTGGTGAGGAGTGGGACTGTCCTGTCGTGCACCTATCACCATGGATGATTACCCGATGTATCGGTTGCTCGTGGGGTTCTCCCTTTGGGGGACCCTTTGGCGTTTCATTTTCCCATTGGGATTCTGGAACACGCTTTCGTGTAGGGTAGAGACACGTACGGGGACGGGTACCTCGCCCTATACGGTCGAGCAGGAAGCAAAGGCCGCCGCGATCCTGAAAGAGACGAAAGAGAAGAAAGAGGCCAAGAAGAAGGCCCTACAGGAGGCGCAGGCGGCGAAGAAGAAGAAGAAGAGGCTGAAGAAAGAAGAAGAAGAAGCAAAGTTAAAAGAAGTGGAAGAGGAAGAAGAAGAAGAAGTAGAAGAGGAGCCACTGGAGAGAGGGAGAAGAGGAAACAGAGGGGAGTCCAGTGAGACAAAGGAAGACTTGATGGAGAAGAAGATTTCAGAGTGGGTTGCAGGACTGACCCTGGGAGAGGACGAGGAGGTGTTAATGTATGTGCCCAGGGACGAGCAGGAGGCGGCCGTGCGAGAGTGGGAAGCTGAAGGAGACCCACTCAAGCGGCAAGTGCTAGAAGGTGAGAAGAGGATGGAGTGGAAGTTTCGCCTCACTAGGGAGAGGAAGAGAAGAATGGAGGCGGCAACAGAGGCGGCGAAAGAGTTGGAAGAGACTCGGAAGCAGAGGGATCAGATGGCGGTCCAAGTAGATTTATTGGGGAAGGTAGAGATCCTGGCCAAGAACGTGGAACGCCTGGCAAAGGTCCAGGAGGAGAAGCTTTTATTTGTGCATTCGATACGGTCGGGACTTAGGGACTTTGCTCGAGAGTTGGCAATGCAGGTGGGCTCGCATGTGACAGCCCGCCTCGAAGGCACTGAACGATACTGTGTTGGTGCCATTGAGGGCGCCAAGTTGACTGCCCCAAAGGAAGAAGAAGCACGACCCCGTAGAGAGCCGGTCAAAGTTAAGTTTCCTGATTCCTACAGTGGAAAGAAGGAAGAGAATTTTGACAACTGGGAAGCCAATGTTAAAACATACGTGCACCTGCAGAAGGTGTCCCCGATGAGCAGGTCCTAATCACCATCCATGCGTTAAAGGAAGAAGCCGCCAGTTTTGCACGCTCCTTAGTCCGCGCTGCTAATTGCAGCGACGATGTGGTTGCCTACTCTGCCTTTACCCCCCTCGCTGACTTTCTTAAGTTGCTGCGCGAACAATTTGTAGATGTCTCGCGCAGTGTCAGAGCCTTTGATCGATTGCAGACTATCCACTCTCGTAAGTGGAGTAGCGCCAAGGCACTCAAGGGAGTAATGGACGAGTTAGTGGCTGTTTCTGACCATGGGGTCACAGAGACCCAACTGGTCAACCTCTTCTACCGAGCTATGCCCGAGTCGTTGCGTGGGCACTTCTTTGAGAAGAGCCAGCAACCCACCATGACCTATGATGCATTGAGCAGGGAAGTGGTGGCGTTTGAAGCGAGGTCTGTGTCAGTCTCCTCTTTCTGGCACAAGTACTTGGACAGGGGAAAAAAGTGGAAAGGTCGCACTATATCAGGGCAGGTGAAGACAAAGGATAGCCTGGTCCTTACTTTAGATGAGGGTAGTGTCGATGAGATCCCCTACGATCAAATAGAGTGGGGGCTCGAGGAAGATGACAGTAGCAGTAGTCAGGGGAGGACCTACGCTGCTGTCGCGGTTGGAGGGAGGCCGCAAGGAGGAGGACGAGGCCAGGGCCAAGGGGGCCGGGCCTCAGGGAACCGTTCTTAGGGCGATCAGGGGGTTGGCGGTGAAGGAGGAAACCGCCAAGCGGGAGGAAGGGGTCAAGGTCCCCCGCAAAACCGGTTTGGGAATAGGTCCCCTTATAGGAGAAGTGGATGGCACCCAGGGCTGCCACAAGGCAGGCCTTGGGAAGATCTGGGCCTGGACCAGCGCTTATGGCAACATCGTGTGAACCAGGGGCAGTGCATCTACTGCGGTGACCCTGGCCACATCATTAAATATTGTCCGAAGTATAGAGAGGCTCGCTCGGCTGCACAAGAGGCAAAGGTAGGGGTAGCAACTGCCTCTACCATAGGGCCATGTGGAGACGAGTCAGCAAGCCGGCACGAATCTCCCAAACCACATGAGCCCATGGCAGAAGTTGCAGGTCGCTGCCTAGATAGCTGCCCAGAGACTGCGTGTGTTAGAGTCTCTTTAGGCACTTCCCTCACAGGCGTGGCACAGGAATTAAAGGAGAGAATGCCCGCCTGGGCCAAGATGAGGAAAGAGAATAGGGGGCAGCTCATATTAGTAGATACAAAGATCTTTAGAGGACGAGCTGGCGCCTTAGTGGATAGTGGAGCCACCCGTAGTTATATGAGTAGGAAGGCGCTGCAGAAGCTGAAGTTGCAGTTAAAAGTCCAAAGACTAGCAGACCCCATAGTGAGTATCCTCACGGACAATCGCACCATGCGAGTAGAGGAGTACGTAGAGGGAGTCCAGGCGTATTTCCGCCTAGAAAAGGATGGGAAGGTGGAGAAAGTTTTCCACTCCCTGACTCTCCTCGTAGAGGATAGCCTCCCATTTGACATAGTCCTAGGTATGGACTGGGGAGAGGCAGCAGGGGCCACACTCCACTTGAGAGAGCATGAGTGTAGGCTCCCTAGTCCATCAGGCGGTGTCAAGACTGCCCGTTTGTTCCATGCCTCAGGAGTAGATAACTCCCTGGCGCATTGCTGCCTTAGCGCTCCTGCGTTCGCAAGATTAGTGAAAAAGGAGCAGCTAGAGGAACAGGTTTTTGTAGCCTATGTTAGGCCAATCACTGAGCCTAAGGAAGAGAAACCTATAGACCCTGCTATTGCCAAACTGCTGGAAGAGTTCACAGACCTAGCGAAGCCGCCGACAGGAGTAGTACCACGGCCTATCCAGCACCGCATTGAAATTGAGCCTGGCAGTAGGACCCCCAAAGGAGCAGTGTATTCCCACTTTCTCGCCACTTCGTCACTTAGGAGCAAATCGCAACTCTTGCCCATGCTTGTTCTAGTGTTTTGATGGTTCCTTTACCTACTTTGCTCAATTTTCTCACATGATGACATTCTGTTTCATACTTGGTTGCATTCATGAGCTACAAGCATGTGTTTGAGCAAGTCTCCCTCATATGCATGACTCAACTCTCACATGATGACATTCCGTTTCATGCTTGGTCGCATTCATAAGCTACAAGCATGTGTTTGAGCCAGTCTCACTCACGTGCATGGCTCAACTCTCACATGATGACATTCCGTCTCATTCTTGGTTGCATTCGTGAGCTTCAAGCATGTGTTGAGCAAGTCTCACTCACATGCATGGCTCATCTCTCACGTAATGATGTTCCATTGCATTCTTGATTGCTTTCATGAGCCTCAAACATGTGTTCAAGCAAGTCTTTCTCACATGCATGGCTCATCCCTCACGTGGTAGTGTTCCTATTCCCACTTGGCTGTTCTACTACTCATGTACATGTGTTCTCACTACTCGCACCCTCACTTTGTCAAGTTCATGCATTTGGTAGTGTTCCATTTGGTTGTTCTACTGCTCGTGTACGTGTGTTCTCAGTACTCACTCCTTCATTTTGTAGATTTCCACTTGGCTGTTCTACTGCTCGTGTACTTGTGTTCTCACTACTCACACCTTCATTTTGTCAAGTTCATGCATTTGGTAGTGTTTCGATTCGCACTTGGTTGTTCTATTACTCATGTACATGTGTTCTCACTACTCACACCTTCATTTTGTCAAGTTCATGCATTTGGTAGTGTTCTGATTCACACTTGGTTGTTCTATTACTTATGTACATGTGTTCTCACTACTCACACCTTCATTTTGTCAACTTGATGCATTTGGTAGTGTTCCGATTCTCACATGGTTCTATTGTTCATGTGTATGTGTTCTCGCTAGTTCCACCCTCACCTTGACAAGTTCATGCATTTGGTAGTGTTCCGTTTCACACTTGGCTGTTCTATTACTCATGTACATGTGTTCTCACTACTCACACCTTCGTTTTGTCAAGTTCATGCATTTGGTAGTGTTCTGATTCTCACTTGGCTGTTCTACTGATCATGTGCATGTGTTCTCGCTAGTTCCACCCTCACCTTGTCAAGTTCATGCATTTGGTAGTGTTTTGTTTCACACTTGGCTGTTCTACTACTCATGTACATGTGTTCTCACTACTCACACCTTCATTTTGTCAAGTACTGGGTAGTGATCCGATTCACACTTGGTTGTTCTATTACTCATGTACATGTGTTCTCACTACTCACACCTTCATTTTGTCAAGTTCATGCATTTGGTAGTGTTCCGATTCTCACTTGGCTGTTCTACTGTTCAAGTGCATATGTTCTCACTAGTTCCACCCTCACTTTGTCAAGTTCATGCATTTGGTAGTTCCAATTCACACTTGGCTGTTCTATTACTCATGTACATGTGTTCTCACCACTCACACCTTCGTTTTGTCAAGTTCATGCATTTGGTAATGTTTCGATTCTCACTTGGCTGTTCTACTGCCCATGTGCATGTGTTCTCGCTAGTTCCATCCTCACCTTGTCAAGTTCATGCATTTGGTAGTGTTCCGATTCACACTTGGCTGTTCTACTACTCGCGTGCATGTGTTCTCGCTAGTTCCACGCTCACTTTGTCAAGTTCATGCCTTTGGTAATGTTCTGTTCCACACTAGGCTGTCCCACTACTCACATGCATGTGTTCTTACTACTCACACCCTCACCTTGTCAAGTTCATGCCTTTGGTAATGTTCCGATTCACACTTGGCTGTTCTATTACTCATGTGCATGAGTTATCGCTAGTCCCACCCTCACTTTGTCAGCTTCATGCATTTGGTAATGTTTCGTTTTTCACTTGGTTGTCCTACTACTCACGTGCACGAGTTCTCATTAGTGACACGTTCACTTTGTCAAGTTCATACATTTGGTAATTCTCCGATTCACATATGGCTGTTCCGCTACTCACACGCGTGTGTTCTCACTAAACACACTCTTCCTTTGACAAACTCATGCGTCCGGTGATAGTCTGATTCACCCTTGACAAGTGGACTTGGCACACACATGCTCCATCGAGACCCCCCCCGTGTTCTAATCGAACGCGGTAAGTAGAAAGCAAGAAAAAAAATGACAATTTCATTGGTAGGACTGTTGTTGCTGCTGTTGCTGTGTATTACTGTAATGCTGTTGTTCCTAATGAGTGACTAAGCCCCTTGCTGCGGCTCCTGCTGCTGAAAAATCGACGACCAACCACCGGGGCACGGGCCGGTCCAAAAATAGGACCAAGGGGCCAATGCTGCAAGGGGGCACTCTGACCAAGTTCCGCCAAGCCAAGGGTATGAGGGCTGGGACTGCTCAGACCTCATGTCCTAGGTATAAACAGATGACTTGCAGAACCTGCAGGTCATCTGAGTCCATTTTCTTGCAAAAACGGAAAATGGACTTCACCGAACTGTTCGCCTCGGGGCCCGGACGGCGCCCGAAAACAGCAAGTAGGGGCAAACGACGACGGAATCCGACGAAACTTGGTAGGATGCTTCCATAGGGCGCAGACAGAGAGCCCACCAAAAATTGACTGATTCTGACTTCGTTTAGGCTGGGAAATGCAAGTTTGTGTTTTTCGGCTCTTCTCCTTAGGCAAAAATGGCAAAAGCTTCAAAATCTGCAAATCTGGAGATCTGCGAAAGTTGTGTTCTTAAATCTGTGTTTCTGTGCGAAGTCTGTGCTTTCTGCATACCTGCGGTAGAAGTAGTACTGAGAATCTGAAGGTTTGAAGACCAGGGCAAAGGGAAACCTAGGGACAAAGCCGGGCGCGTGAAGTAGGACGAAGGATCGGCCACCTCACACCATCTCCCTCCTCCATCTTCTTCACCCATCCGCCATAGCCATCCACCTCGCACCATTTTCTTCCTCCATCTCCTTCACCCATCCACCATAGCCATCCGCCTCATGCCATCCCCCTCCTTCACTTTCTTCGACCATCCGCGATAGCCATCCGCCTCACACAATCTCCCTCCTCCATCTTCTTCACCCATCCGCCATAGCCATCCACCTCACACCTCCTTCTTCTTCACCCATCCACCAAAGCCAACCACCTCGCACCACCCTCCCCCTTCCTGTTCCTCACCCATCCACCATAGCCA